CTTAGTACATCCTCAATTAAGCGCCACGTTAAGCGTCAAATGTACGATAGAATCTCGAAAATTACAGAGAATCCGACCCCGCAGGCCTATATTCCCGTCACGAAGTCACAGACTAACTAACATTGTAGTGCGACATACTCAATGGGAGATTCAAACAAAGTTCTGCATGACCCAGCGTATTTCCTAAGAGCAAAACACAAGAAATTCACAAGCTGGTCAAGATAATTACAACCAGTACACGATAGCTCGCCACCAACAGAAACTATGAAGCGAGCGCTGCAATACCTGCTTAGCTGGTTGCTGACTCTTCAATTTTCGCTCGTTTGGCCTTGATTTTGATAGCTTCAGACTTGTCCTTCTTCATCTTTTGACGAATGCTATGGTATACTCGCTTGTGCTTCTTCGGCATCATAATTTCACGCATTTTCACTCCAGCGTGCTGAAAGAAAATATTCACTTTATACATTGGAAGCCACATTCTCAACACCGCTCATTCAGCTATAAAGTAGGGCTCTCAAATATCGATTGAGGCATGGATAGTTGAAAAAATCCCCAAGCGACCTCTTGGATTCGCACCAAAAACCCCAATTGAACAAGAAAGATGAATGCTAAGCAATGTGAGCTTCGCGACCTTTGTGAGAATGAATCGCCATCGGCTCCGAGTCAAGGGACTAGGCCACCTGAGGTAATCCGATAAGCTAGTTTGACAGTGGTCCGAACTCAAGCCAGCCGTACTTTCTTAAGGTTAGGAGTTAGGTTTGCGAGATGCGAGACCTCCCCGGACGACTTCAGTCTATGGTGAGCTGGATTTAAGGCTGAAATGGCACGCGGCGGTAGTTCACCCTCACCTTTGATTTTCTAGGCTCCGTCGAAAGCGGCTAAGCTGAAACGTTAGATAAATAAAACTGTGGAAAGTATCTTTGCAGTGCTCTCGATAGCTATTGACGAAAGCGCTACGCATATTTGCAGAGTTTCAGCCAATACATTGTTTTTTCTCAAACTGGTGGCGGCGTATAACTGGTACCCGTCTTAAGGTTCTATGGTCAAAGTACACAGCGATAAATAGACTGAATCCAGAAGCTGTCAGAATACACAAAGCCTAATAGTGAAGAGGAATCCTCTCCCCCATAAGGCAGCGTTCAGACTTCGATGGCAGCGCTTCGGTCGCGCGTTCGACGCGATCGATGCAGTCGAAAGCATGCGCATCGATCGTCGAATCGCGCGACCGAAGCGCTGCAGTCGCAGTCTGAACGCTGCCTAAACGATTCCAAGGCCCCCAACATGTATCATGAGGGGTTGAGACAAAGACGGATCCGACTCGTAATTTTTGAAGCTCAGTAGGGTCTACGGACAACTTGAACTCAATCCCTTTGAACGCGTCGATCTTCTCTTTTTCTCTGCACTCTCTCGTCCGCATGGCACTCTATGGCCGTTGTGACTTCGCTCACTCCAGCTTTTCACCGACTATAAGTAGCTCACCCACCCCGGAGTCCCCTCCCCTTGAAAAATCCCGTTTCCTGGCTCGCCATACGTTTTTGCACGTTTCGATTCTTTGGCCCTCTATCCGCTTGCGTCACAGGGTTTCGTAACAGGACCATGCACAACAGTTCAAGATGTCACGTAACCGCTCAGTAGGTAAGACTCAAACGAAATAAAAATGAAAGGTGAAGGAAAAGGCGCTTTTGGATTTCAGGCATGATGAAACCCTTCTGAGACTTCACGAAGACAATTGTGAACTCTACCGTGGATGTAAAATGCGTCAGTTGAAAAATGGGAGAGATTCTTCGCAAACACAAACACCCAGTCAGATTAGATCTTCAGGAAGAAATAAATATACCAACCAAAAAGAACAAGATATACGTAAAATATACAAACCTGCTCATTCACTTCAAGTTGCTTGTTCTTCTTATGCATCTTGCCCAGTGAAGCTCTCATGCCCTGAGGTTGCTCTTCTGCCTTCTTAACCTTTTTGGCCTTTGGTTTAGGTGGCAAAGCTGGTTCGCTTGCAACAAGAGCAGACACGTCTGCAAAAGTGCTTTTAGCAAAAAATATCTTCCATAGTCCATCATAAATGATAAAAACTATGTGTACTAGGAGGGCTCGAAACATCTCACCTTGCCCGATGCTTCTTAACTCTTCCAGTCTTTCCAAGGGCACGTAATCTCCAGGTTTATCCTTTGTGAAAGGTGAGAAATGTGGTGGTAGCTGAACACCCACCATATATCTAAAAAGGTATTCAACTAGCCTTCGCTTCAATTTGGTCGTGAAAACAAAAGAATACTTCTCTGTTGGCAATCTTCGACGCGCATTCAAACAGTCGAACACCCACTGCGGCTGGATATACCTTCTAAAAATGAACTTTCTCCACAGGATGATAACACTATTATAGAATGAACATCGAGCTCTTCGTACCGATTGACATCGAATTTTGACATCGGTCGGTCAACAATATGATGTGTGATAGATGAGTTTGACTCTTCTAGATTAGTAGGACCTCCACTCCACCCTGCAGCACCGTCAACGAGTAAACAGATATATTAGCTTATTAGAAGCAAGTTTACTCACCAACCGTACCACCGCAATTCCGAATGATCAATGTTAACGCTTCTTTAGGTGTCTCTCTATTGAGGAAAAATACAAGTCCCTTGAAAAGATTCCTGGAAACAATTATTTCCTCTACAAACTCCTCTCCAGACAAGAAACTTCTTATTATTATATCTTACTTGATAAGTTTTGACTCTTTCACTTTCTCGGCAAGGGCATTGTCATCGTCACCAAACATTTCCACGGCTTCCTGGAGCATGATACCAATTACATAGAAAAACAAAACACCTCATAGCACAGAAGCAGCAGCAGAAACTGTTGTAAAAACCATGAATACCTCGTCCTCTTTTTCATTTTCTGTGCCTGTTCGTTTAGCTAAAGGCCTCGCTAAGCTGTATATCTTCTCTACTCGTTCTTCGTCATCAGAATCATCTGAAGAAAAATATGAAATGCGTTATAAAAACGAACAATACTCATGCTTGGTACTTTTTGGGAACATGAACTTGTAATTTTTAGGTCATATTAGACAGCGGCGGAGGTGGTATAGTGGCAAAGGGCGCGCTTA